CACTATATCACCATCCCATCACTCACATCCGATTTTCAAACGTAAAATAATAAGAACTCGGAACGAGCCCTCTTATTTTATCATATCTAGATAATCTACTAAAAAGGATTTTGTTATTCTCCCACAACTATGAAGGATTTCAACTCATCCAGAACCTTCCTCACCATTACCTACTCTTACACGTGTCACCAACCAACATCTCTTCCCACAAACAAAACTTGATATGATAGGGACGGTTTATTTTAGGATGTGGTTTCCATAATTCCCAGTCTTTATGAAAATAGGATAAAGCCTCCACACTCTTTATTATTATTTTTTGACTTTATTTCGTAATTTTATTGATAAAAAAAATTACAACTAGATCAAGTAAAAATAATATTTAAAACAACCAACTCATGCATCTTAGCCCCTTTTTTGGCTAAAGCATCAGCTATCTCATTCTCTTCCTTATAGACATATTAGAAAGTAACTGACATAACTCGGGTTAAATCCATAACTTCCAACCATGTAGATTTAACTTCCAAAGTGGTCTAGATACCCCATTACACTTATTCACCATATTCAAAGAATCATATTCAACTGCACAGCACTTTTGCAATCCCCACTCTTTAAATAATTTCAAACTTTAGTCCACAACCAATATCTCCGCTTCATTCGTTGTTTTGATACCACACGGACCTGTGAAACAGAAGATACAAACACCAAGATAATTCCTCACCACACCCCCAATACATACTGGTCTACCAAGGTAATTCCTCACCACATCCCAACCTGCTGGTCCCGGATTACTTAATGAACTACCATCATAATTAAGTTTAAGGCCCAAACCAGGCACACTCCAACGCCTTTTATGCTGCACCTTATCCATCATCTGTGACATCAACTCCCTAACATTGATCTCCATATCCAACTTAGATACCTCAAATCCTTCCTTGGTAACCGAGAATTAACTCCACATCGTATGTAATATTCTTCTTTTGATCTAGACACCTTCCAAATACAAACCCTCAAAAACATGTCTATTACTTTACAACCAAGTCTCCCACAACACTGCAGCCCTACCTATCTATGAAATCAGCAAACCCACCTTAGGAATCCCTTCAAAAGGCATCTGATTTATGATATTAGTGTGACTCCAAGGTAAAGGGCCAACAACACCAAGCTTATCAAATAACCAACATCATAAATCATGAGTAAATGGACAATGTAAGAAAAGGTGATCACCATTCACATCACTTTGCTTACACAAATGGTTCGAACGTGGTTTCTTCTTACTATTGGAATTGATGTTGCTCTGTTTAGTACTGATTTGGATTTTTTTGTAATACTCGAATGTCTTCAATTGAGTGATTCACGGTTTCTTTTTCTGTTGATTCTTGGGCTTTTTATTCATTAGAAAATAAACCAATTATTTTTCAATCATCAAGTATTTTGGTCGTTGTATTTTGAATGTGGTGAATAGGGGTCGTTTTAAGGGGTTTAAAGTATCAGGGGATAGTCAACAGATCTCACATTTACAGTATGCGGATGACACTTTATTATTTTATGATACTTCTGTAGATCAAATTTTAAATATGAGAAGAATGTTATTGTGTTGTGAAGTGGGGCTGGGGTTGAAGGTGAATTTTGCATACTTCTATTATAGATATGACGTGTGAGAGTGATATTGTAAATCAGCTTGCTAGTATGTTGGGATGTAAAGTTGAAACCTTTCCCGTGAGGTTTTTGGGATTATCAATTTCTGATTGTAGGTTAGCAAAGTTGGTTTGGGATCCTATTTTAGAGAGGATGCACTGAAGCTTGACATTTGGATGTCAAAAACCCTATCACTAGGTAGTAGGATGACACTC